GTGAGTGAAAGGCGTAATTAGTTGAAGTAACAATCCAATAAGACGTGTATAATGTTCTCTCTCTCTCTCTCACACTCACACACACACACACACACACACAAACAAACAAACAGATGAAAATTATACCTACAGCGCGGCCGTGAGTGAGAGACGTACTTAAAGAAAACAAAAGTAATTATCTTTTCACGCATGAATTATCTTATAGACAGAACGAGAAATAGGTTTAACATTTTGTATATTATTATACAAGCTAGCTATTTATAATTTGAGAGAAATAACGTGCTATCATATCCACGCTTCAATAATATAAAATGTATAAATGACCCTGTAAAATATCTAGTTTAATTACATTAAACAAATATGGTCCAAGTTAGGGTCCTCGAAACATATTCTCTTTAAACTCCTCTGACACCGGACAAAGCAACGTTTTCAGTGATCACTTATTGCAATAAATACGACTGCACGACGTTGTTCATGCTTGAAATCTTTTTTAAGGAATAAATTCTAATTAAAGTGAAGTACGTCTCTGAATGGCTATTATTTATAATTTATATTAAACCATTAGATGTCGCCCTCAGCCACGGTGTCTGAAGTCTTGGGTTCAAGTTAAAACGTTAGGGAACCGCCGGATTACACCACATTTAATAAGCGAAATTCTGATTACACCAAACAAAAGGAATGGACAATGTTATTTCTATATATATACATGGATATGTTGATTACGCCAAACAAACATTTGAGTCAAAAGGTTGGTTAAACTGCTCGTTACACCTCGCAATGGTGGTAGCTAAGTCATATAAACAATCAAAAGTTTTGAGCAAGACACTGACCACACGATTATGCAAACTTCACAAGTACTCGTTATGGTGAAACGGAGTAAGGTAACTTATAAATAAAGCACGATCGTGCTAAACTTTACATACTAAATTATTAATCATTAACGTTAGTCTTTCTGGAAAATTGCGTAGTTTAAAACCAACCTGAAAAACCTTGACTTTTAACGGTGGAAAACCGCTCCAGCTATGTCGTGAGATGGACATTTTCACAGAGCTTGACTCGACCCCTGGATTCAGCAGTGCGCGAGGTGGCACAGGATTAACTACTGCACCCGCAGGCACGAACAACTTACGTACGACGACTATTGTTGCGTGAAAAGAATGGCGTTACTTCCGACTTACCGCCTAGTTTTAACAGCCAACAGAACAAGAAACTCGTTCTCATCCAAATCAGGTCACATTCCCACACGTTTGCAGTACGCAACGTGCTCCTGTGAGAATCTGAAATTTCGTGAACCAGCATATGAACGTAGATTACCGATCTCACAAAATCTCAAGGTCTTTCAGTAACATACACGTTTATTTTCCGGTTGGCAAGTTATATTTGCTGCCTATTAATAATGGAGGCAACCTTGTTTCTTTTCGATTCTCAAAAGTATCAGAGAAAAGTAGAAACACTTTAAATGTTGGCCTATATAACATTAAACGTGCGACTTCCTGTTTGAAAGCGTGCCAAAAAAATATGGTCCGATATATATTTAACCCATCAAAATAAAATTAACTTTAAATTATCCATATAAGATATCACCGAGTTCTTGTTCAAATTGTTTTCCACATATTGGAATAGAGGGGCTGAGTACGTTGATTTTGGAGTTTCATAACAGTAAATTTAGCAATATCCAAGTCAAGCTCTATATGACGACCGTGCATCTTGAGAATAGCACTGCGGTGACGTTTTCACTGCAAATGGCTCCGTCGTAAGTGTGTAAGTTCAAAGCACACCCTTTGTACCTGCATGTTTTCCTTAATCCATCTTATGTACAAGGACGACGGTTTTCCAGTGCCCTTTTATACAGCCCTAACGCACAGAAATCTACTGGCGCTGCATCAAGCGACTTGACTACTTCATATGAAAGAGCAAGATTTTATCCAGCTGCTTGAGGTGTGTGATAGTTCAACTAATATGTTGTGTAAGCACATTTTTTTCATTTGTGTTACTTTTCCAGACTGAGACCCTTCTCGATTATATTGCGTACTATTGCTTAGGGCACGTGGACAGTTTCTGCAACTGACCTCTGTGTTCGTAGATTCTCACCTGTCATAAAACACTTACCATATCCGAAATACCTGTTGTAAGTCTCGTTCTGGCTAGTCCTGGTGTCCCAAAGTGATCCATATAAGTACAAAAGACATCCTTGTCTTAGAAATTCTAAATCCTCAAACTGAGTACATCCTTATGGTTTGAGTATAAATATTCTTCGTCGGAAAGGACTGTTACATACATAGTTACATAATACCAAAATGTAGTTCTGATACATTCATTCCCCAGCGATTTCACATCACCTGTGGTTGACACGTTACGTATTCAACCCTCTATACGAGGTAAATGCTGCTACGTTTGTATCGAACATTTGTAGTTTATCTACATGTTGATTATTCTACGATACAGCTATCTATACACCAGACCACGCCCGATCCAGCGCAACAGGAGTAAGATAATATCTTCACTAAATTATAGTTTATTATCAGACGAACATACATTGTTACATGCTCTAAAAGTTGAGGTACGGGTTTAAGTACAGGTGTTCTGGCATTTCTTCTAAAACCTAACAGCTTTCTGTAAAACCCTTCAATATTCTTGATGACAAATATTGTAACTGGGGCGTTGTTGTTTGGTAGCTATGGTAGCTTGCATGTCCCTTAGCAACGAAGTAGTTGGAGTGTAATCCACCTGTTTACAGTGAACACGATAAATTTCCTGTTAAATGGCAGGACTTGGATTTTTTTTTACCAATATTAAAATATCCGTTACTTGACCAGGTTTCGGTCAAGATGACATAATAAAACTGGACATGCATTTACCAATATCGAATAATCTGTTGGTTGATGCGGTTTCGGTCGAGGTCGTATGATAAGACTGGACATCCGTTTGCCAATATCAAAATATCCGTTTCTTAATCCGTTTTATGTAGAGGTAATATATATAAAACTGTAGATATATTGAAACCTCCGTTACTTGATCCGGTGTCGATGTCATTGTATATAAAACTAGGACACAAAGTAGAACTTTATACACATGCATACATTAATAAGACAAAAACTACATTATCTTAAAATAATTAGTATATAAAAAGTATGTTACGTATTACTGAAACAAGTGAAGAGTGGATAGAACGTTAAAAAATATCTATCAGAAATATATCATCAAATATGGTATACAGACAATATGTTTAGTTTCCAGTAACATACCATTTGAACTATAATATACGATTAATATTGACTTAGCAATGTTCACAAAAACCCTCAGAACAGAAAACTACCCCTTATCAACTTTTAATATAAATCAAACTATCTTAAATTGGAAAGTTACTGACACAGTATGAACCCTATAAATACGGAGACGTGGTCCAACCACGATCAGTTACAGCATCAACTGGTCAGTCATATAAGGAACGGATGTTTTCCAAACCAGTTCAACGCTACAGATATTAATAATATATTTTTTTCTAAGATTTGTTATTATATCATTTGTAATGGAGTCAATTAACACTAGCGATATATTGTTCATTCGTTTGTTTGGCGTTAAGAACAGAGCGACATAATGTACTAGCTGTGCCAAAAACACATCGCAGGGACTAAACCCCTAATTTTAGCATTATAAGCCCTTATCTTCGCCCCTCCCCAGGTAGATGAAGAGTTATTACAAATATCCGATACACATTCACAAATACAATTTGTGACGCAATTCTAGAAAAACAAACACTGCCACAAAATGTAAAGTCTACGAGATTTTAACGCTAAAAAAAATTTCGATACTCGTGGTGGGCACAGTACAGATAGCCCATTGTCTAGTCTTGTGCTTAATTACAAACAAACAGCTTTAAGAACTGATTATCTGAACTTACCTGTAACTTCCTCAACTCATCTGTCCATTTACATCCTTCCTTGCAGTGTATGCAGTAAACCACCGAACCCATCACTGTACTCTCAATAACAGGATCTGGAAACACCTGTAGTATAAATCAATCGAAATCACGTAAAATTTAAACGTTTGATATGAACTTAAAAGTTGCATGTAGAGTCAAAGTTTTATTTGAATACAGTCTATGATATTAGTAAAAAGCAAAAAAAAAAAGGATTTCCTGTTCCGAATCACGACTCAACGTAATATAAAGCACGAGGCTTCCGAAGTATCCGAGTGACTTTAAAAGGCAGTCTTGTGCCTAGACCGTTTGTAAATAAAATACAATACTTCTTCAGTATGAACTGTTTAATATATCGGAATGTTGCACGTAGAATGTCTTTTGCTAATTTTGTATCTTTTCTGGAACAATGATGCATATATTATTTTTAGTAGTATTGAAAAAAATACATAGATGTACAGGAGTGGCCTTGTCCCTCCAGGGGCGGCGGGTTTGGCACGTCACCACATCTGCGTTCTGGCTCCCGGCATGGTGACAGTCGTATTCACACCCTTTCTGTGTTCACTTCGGACGGATACACCTAAAATCACCCATCCCGATTACCATGGTCATACATTCTCCCAAGTTCACTACCACCACCAAAGAGCTGGGTAACCATCCCATCTAAATACGTATCGTGAAATACGTCTGTACCGTTTGTAAAAGGTCAAAAGTGATGAAATGTCATGGCTCGAAGGTCACAACAACGATGTAAATATAGGATTCGTTAAACGCTAATAAACAACGACAAAAATAGATTTAAAACAACAAAAAACTGCCTAGACCAATGTTTCCCAAAAGAGGGGTCGCAAGTAAGCTGGCAGTGTGGTGCTAAACATTCCACTTTTCTATAATCATTGTTTAAAAAAAACAAAATAAATAATAAAATACCTTAAAATAAATATCTTAATGTGATGACCAAATGAAAGTACAATCACAAGCTAGTTTGGTTACCACCATCTGCTTTCAGTTTTCTTTGTTTGTGTGGCACTTTGCTCTGACCAATTAGTGTGTGCTGTACTCTTGTCAGTAGTTCCAGGTGTTCCTTGGGGAAACGTTTTGAAAACACTAGCCTGTGATCTACAGACCCTTCTTCTGCTACATATGGTGGTCTGTGTTAAGGTTATGGACTTTCGCTTTGCAGTTCCATTTCCATTGCAGGACGCTTTTGTAGAAGACATTGGGATCAGTATTGTTCCACTCCTCTTTACATTCTTCCCAAATTCCATCGACCATTCGCGGACGACGACTTCCAAACTCATTTGAGCAACCCTTTGAGCAACCCAATCGCACAAAGTCCATGGAGGATCCATTTATTGATTTAACCAGAGGCGTCGCTAGGCAATGGCACACGGGGCCCATGCTCAGATTTTATTTAACAGTGCCCCAAATCCCCAGTTGGTGTATTAAAAAATCTCAATCGAAAACCACGATCGCTACCATACCACAAAACCGAAAAATTCCGGGTCTATGGGCCTAAGCACCTAGCGACACCTCTGTATCTGTGAATGGGACAAAATGAATTCCTGTTTATACTTGCATCGTGTAGAGGAACTGGTTTGTTGATTTGGACAAGTGGATGGATGCTTGGTCTTGAAGGAGTCGTACCTTATTGCAATTCAGTCCATACAGATATTGTATTTCCTCCTGGGTGGTATGGTGGCGACAGCACGTTATCCTGACAGTATGCAGAGTTCGCCTTGGCATCCTTCTCGATTTTCTGGATGTTTAATTTACCATTATAACTGTCATCTGTAATCATACATACTTTTTGAAAAGAAAAAAAAAAACAACAAGCAAACAAACTTTGTGATAAGCTCGGTATCATTTTTAGAATTCACTAATTGGCAGGACGATAATAAATATTGCCCGGACTTGTTTACAGCTTCAAAATAATCACAATTAATCAATATAATTTTGGGTTACTTCAGGTAACAAGCAGCTAAGTTTCTTCAGTACATCTGGTGTGCGAGTGGTAGCCGATCGTGGAGTTGCCAGTTTTCTCCTGCTGGAATCACGCCTATCCTTGCTTTACGGATACTGTTCAACATTTTGGACACGTCTTTCTTTGAAACACAAATATTTCGTGCATTGCGTGCTTTTATAATCATGGAATAGGAGAACTTCTTATCATAAAGTCTTGTGATTTAACCCTTCCAGAAGGGTTCAGTTTTAGGCACCATCTGCACTTCGACTGAATTACAAAAAAACTTTAAACATGGTGGCCTGGAGCAAATGACTGGGTATGCTTATTTTTACAACTCGGTATAAATAACAATTACATATGCATATCTTTCGAAAAGAGTTTTTTTTTTTTGCCACTAGAATATCAACATCATATTTTTAGCGAAATAAACATCTTGGAAAGGTCATAAACGAATGTAAGAATTGTTTTAAACATTCAAACAAAAAGATTTAGACTTAAATTGTTGTTGACTGTACGTGTGCTAAAGTGACTCCTACGAAAGCGTAACTAAAAATGGACAATAAAATTAATCAATTATTTTTTTTTATATATATATAGAACTTGTTCGTTTGTTCCAGAATGTTCGCGCAAACTTACACAGGGGTTATCTGCACGTAGGGCGCTCGACTCGCAATCAGAGGGTCGCGGGTTCGAATCCCCGTCACACCAAACATGCTCACCCTTTCAGCCGTGGGGGCGTTATAATGTCACGCTCAATCCCACTATTCGTTGGTAAAAGAGTAGCCCAAGAGTTGGCGGTGGGTGGTGATGATTAGCTGCCTTCCCTCTAGTCTTACACTGCTAAATTAGAGACGGCTAGCGCAGATAGCCCTCGTGCAGCTTTGCGCGAAATTCAAAAACAAACAAAGCACAAACTAATAAAAAAAAAATTCACATTTTTAGTGACATTTGGTTAACATATACACACGATAGTTTCTGTTGGACAAATGTCTCAGATCTACGGGGTACCGTAATACTTACTTTTGGTAGAAAATTTTGGTTCTGAGGCAATTCTGTGACTAATACACAATAAAATAAGAAAATACGTTGTCTTGGTAAGAAAAAAATTAAATTAACCATGCGAATCAAAGTGAAAGACTTATACTCGGCAATGTTTCATGTTTCGACATGTTGCAGCTTGATAACCGATATCACACACGCATACGCAGCAGTACAGGGTGGTCCAAAAGCTGTTGTCCCGTTACTTAGTTTCTCTTTTCTCTCTGTGTAAAAATGTACAGCATTAGTACTAATTATGTCTTTATCGATTCGTATGTACTTCTATGTAAAGTAAATCACCGTGCTGCTCATGGATAGTGATCACCCAATACAAAGCGGTCTCGTATTATATATGTCACGTTATCTAAACAAAACCTAACTTACCCAAATATTTAAACTAATGTGCCATACCTTTGCGTAGTCCAACGGTAGACCGTCCTCTGGGCAAGTAAAAACACCGCCGCTGTAGGGAGGATAAAAAAAATAACCGGATGAGTCACTGACATCCGATAGTGAGTCAACAGAAACGCAAGGAAATAACTAAAACTACGAGGCACGTGCCTCTTGATTTCTCGCGGTAATTTTATGTGTATATCAGGATTATTTTAGCAAAATATGAGATAATGTAATTAAAAAAAAACAACCTATTTTCTTTATAAACAACTTGTAACTAACTATCATTCTAACTAATGGTCTAAGAAAATGGTGGTTTGGTGTTTACGTACGAAATGAAAGAATGTCCGTACCGTCGTTTATCCATGTCACGCGCAGAAAACGTACACTTCTTTTTAAAATTTAGTTTAGTTTGTTGTTGTTTTTTTAACACAGTCTAATCTGACAACTGAAACCGTTGAAGTGCTCGCTTGTTCTGTAAGCAAGTTGGTTTCATCTGATCTTTTGAACAAACCATCCTCCCCTACCCCCCAGGACAAACCTGACAAGTCTGAACATGAGTAAGCAGCAGGATGTTCCCACGTGGTTTCTACACCGAGGTGAGAACACGTGCACTAAAAATATTTATCCTTTCTTTTTCTTTTTTTGCGAGATCTCGAAAAAAAAGGCCAAAGAGAAGCTAATGGCTACAACGTCTTAAGATAATAATATAAATGTAATGTAGTCTCTAGTAGAAAGCGTGTACATTGAAAGACGAAATACAGAATAACAGTGGTTGTCATTTGGTTTATTTATAGATATCACACACCTGGTGGGTCAGTGGTAAGTTTACGGACTTATAACGCTCACATCTGTGGTTCGATTCCCAGCTGTGTACAGAGGGCAGATGGCTATCATGTAGCTTTGCGCTAAAAACAAGACAAAATTTTTTATCTAATTTAGAGTTTTAATTTGAGAGTCGTTAGCTAAAGTATGAAGTGTTTTTTGTTTTGTTTCTTTTGTAAATAATTACTCGTTTTATTGTATGTATAGAGGGCGATACTGAGGGCGCGTTATAAAGGCGGCAGTCAATCCCGCTATTCGGAGGGCGCTCGACTCGCAATCTGAGGTTCGAATCCCCGTCTCACCAGCTGTGGGGGCGTTATAATGTAACGGTCAGTCCCACTTTTCGTTGGTAAAAGAGTAGCTCAAGAGTTGGCGGTAGGTGGGGATGACCAGCTGCCTTCCCTCTAGTATTTCACTGCTAAATTAGGGATGGCTAGCGCAGATAGCCATCGTGTAGATTTGCGCGAAATTCAAAACAAACAAACTGCCCACTATCTTTGATTTGAAAAGTCGGTAAATTTCACGTGAGCACGAATTGGCGCATAAGCTACAGCTGTTCCGCGAAATTAACTTAAAGGTATTCGTTTATGAGTAGTTATGTAGGAAGCGGGCGCTGTTGACAACCGGTTGCCCTCCCTCTGACTAGCAGTTCTGTCTAACGCCCGAATCTTGGAGATATTGCCCTGGCCGTTTAACCTATATGTGGAACAAGGTGTCATTTAGGTTGAAAATACATATCTTTATATCCGAACGAGGGTCTGGATCGAGGATCTGGGAGGGTCAGGTTCTACGTAGACCCCTCTCTCTCTCCCTTCTTTATGTACATAAGAATTAAAATTGGTGTTTAAATTCGACACCAAACCACAAGTTCTTGATAAAACGATTCAAGGGACATTCAGTTATCGAAACATTCTCGAGACCTTTCGACAATTAGTACTATCTATCGACCTTGTATAGTAGCATTATCACGCCCTCCCCCAATAATTAAAAAAAAACACCACCACCTATGCAATGAATCATTCAGATACATTTCTTCTTATAACTTTTTAAATCACGCATTGAAATTTAAGAAGAAACAAACTGAACGCACACCAAACCAGACTCACCAAGCAGGATTTCTGACATGGTAAACCACTGAGCTAAGACAAATCTGGTATCCTCCTTTCCATAGCAAAAAAAAAATTCTAATGAGTCAGTCCTAATACTTGGACACGGTAATAAAACAAAGATGTCCAATCTTTTGCCCCCCCCCCCAGTGGCACAGCGGAATGTCTGCGGACTTACAATGCTAGAATCCGGGTTTCGATACCCGTGGTGGGCAGAGCATAGATTGCCCATTGTGTAAATTCAACATTTAGTTGTAAATATAAGTCTTCTTGGAAAGATTTTGTTACTTATGTAAGGATTTTTTTTGGGTATGGTTTTGTGTATTCATCCCCACCTTGTTTCTGTACTTTCGGGTACTGCCATCCCTACATCATTCTTTTATTTTTTTTTCACATTTACATCTAATTATTAAACCTATATCCCTAAATGGAGTCGTTAAAATTGTTTACTCGTTGGCGTAAGGCTTACATTAAATCTAAGGTACTGTACTCGCGAAAAAAGGAGTCGTTAAAATTAATTACTCGTTAGTGTAAGGCTTACTTTATATCTAAAGTGTTGTACTCGCGAAAAAAAATTCTTTTCTGGCACTGCAACTTTTTCCAGTACATCTGTTATAAAAGCTGTCTTTTTAGCAGTTGACGGAAACAGCTACCATCAGACTGTTACCTTATGGTAACTACAACCAGCCATCTTTAGCTCGTACAGTAATCAATATTCAAGCCGAAGGTCGCCTATTCTTGACCATAAGGTTTTCAAAGCTAGTTAGTTATTCGTATCCAATCAATGAACATATATATATATATATATATAT